TAATTGCTTATGCTGCTCACATGAATTTTAAGCTGTTTCAGATGGATGTAAAGACTGCCTTCCTCAATGGATATTTAAAGGAAGAAGTATATGTGGAGCAGCCACCTGGTTTTGAAGATGCACTGTTCCCCCAACATGTGTACAAGTTGGACAAAGCATTATATGGGTTGAAACAAGCTCCGAGGGCTTGGTATGAAAGATTGTCCAATTTCTTGATGGCAAATGATTACAAGAGGGGAACAGTAGACAAGACCTTGTTCATAAGAACCAGGGGGAAACACTTGATTGTAGTACAAATTTATGTTGATGATATTTTATTTGGTGCTACTAATCAGGTTTTATGTGATGAATTTGCTAATCTTATGCAGAGTGAATTTGAAATGAGCATGATGGGAGAACTAGGATTCTTCCTAGGGCTGCAGATTAAGCAAATGGATGATGGAATAATGATCCATCAACAAAAGTACTTAAAAGAGTTGCTGAAAAAATTCGGCATGGAGAACAGCAAAGCTTATGATACACCTGTTCCCCCATCTACAAAATTAGATGCTGATCTTAAGGGAAAAGATGTTGAAGCTTCTCTTTATAGAGGAATGATAGGTTCTCTACTTTACCTAACAGCTAGTAGACCTGACATTGTGTTTTCTGTTGGTTTGTGTGCTAGGTTTCAAAGCAATCCAAAGGAATCTCACTTGAAGGCTGTTAGAAGGATACTTAGGTATCTTGTAGGAACAGCAAATCTGGGATTGTGGTACCCAAAGGCAGTACCATTGATCTTATTGGATACACAGATGCAGATTATGCTGGTTTCTTAGTTGATAGAAAGAGCACATCAGGTATGGCGCACTTTCTTGGCTCTTGTCTAATTTCATGGGGTTCTAAAAAGCAAAATTCAGTGGCCCTATCCACAGCAGAGTCTGAATATATAGCTGCAGCTTCATGCTGTTCCCAGCTACTGTGGATAAGGAACCAGCTGAAAGATTTTGGTGTTATTTATAAAAGTGTTCCTATTTTTTGTGATAACACTAGTGCAATCAATATTTCAAAGAATCCTGTGCAACACTCCAAGACAAAACACATTGAAATAAGACACCATTTTTTAAGAGACAATGTGGAAAAAGGATTGGTGGAGATGTTGTTTTGTAAAAGTGAAGATCAAATTGCTGATATCTTCACAAAGCCTTTGTGTAGAGAGTCTTTTTGTAGGTTAAGAGTCCTTTTAGGTCTAGTTAGATTTTAGGTATTGGCTTCAATTACTTCCTTCAATGATTGGTTAGAATGGTATTCTCTTGTATAGTGTGTGTACATACTTATGTTGATATCTTTCAAGTGTTGTGTAGATGGTTCAAAATCTCAAAAGGATTGAGAATCATTGTTGTAAGAAACAGGTGAAATCAGGCTGAATTGCCAGAAACAGCGTGACATGGTTCTATACAGGTACCAGCAAAGGGAAACAGCAGACCAGCTCTGATATGTCATCCGATAATATCTTTTATTTTCGGAAGATTACTATAAGATATTTCCTTTTGGAAGGAATTTATCTTATTTCAGTTATTTAATCCCATATAAAAGGCAAACATATCATATGCCTTATTTATAGTTGGTTGAGATAATTATGGTAAAAGATAATTACCAAATTTTTTATTTCAATTTAAAAATATCCTTTACAGTTGCTTTTTATTGGCTCAACTAACTCTTTTCTTTCCTTCTTCTCTCTTTGTGCTTCATTGTTAAAAATATACACTAACCCTTTGTGCAGATCATCAATCATCATCACTCGAAATTCTCTTTCTCTCTCTCGTATGCCTTAAATTCATCATTGTTCATTCGGTTACTGTTCACTCAAGGAACCAGCTCAGTCTCAGGGGGAACATCAGAAGGAAGCTCAAATGTCCTTAAGCCCGAAGTTGGAGGAAATTCGGAAAAGTCAGAGTGAAGAGGATGAAATAGAGATTGTTGGTTACAATGAGGAGACACTCATTGTTAAGACCATGGTACGAAGTAGAGTAACTCAATCTTCATTAAAGAAGTTCACTGAGAAGGTGTAGGAGGAACAGTCCATTAATTCTCTTCCGGAAACCAAGAGAAAAAGGGTACCAGCAAGAACCTTTCACACCACAAAAGGGTGGAGGTCTTTGCTTGATTGATGTGATGCTAGTCTTGTACTCGTTATGCAACAAGGAGAACTTTATGAATAAGTGCGGATCTCTCATGATTTATAAAAAAAAAAAAAAAAAAAAAAAAAAATAGAGGAACCAGCAGGTCAGGAAGTGGTTTTGAAACAGATTGGGGAATCACAAGAATATGCTTAGTAATATAATGATTTTGGTTTAAGCAGAGCATGGTGACAAGGATGAAGAGGAATCAGATGATAATACAGAAGATGTTGCAAAGTTCGAGGAGGAGGAAGGGAACGAGAATGATGATGAGGAGTGATGCTGTTTCTGTTCTTGTTTCCTCACCCTCATGTTTATTCTAAAATAACTGATTTTGTTGGTCTGTCTACTTCTCTCCATTCCATGAACTTTCTTTTTGGATGGATTTGGGCTTCTTTGGTTGAACTTTGTTGGCTTGTATGAACTACTAACTCTGCTATGGTATGAACTGTTTGACTAATATCTTTTTGCGGCATAATGCTTGAATGGTGGTTGATGCCATTGTATGGATAAGCACATTAACTTGTGCACATTGCTTTTACTTGTGGATACTTTTTAATGATGCCAAAAGGGGGAAGTAGTTTGAAGTTGAAGCCTAAGGTTTAGCTAGTTTAGATTGAGTCAGTTTGAGGTTTGGCTAGTTTAGATTGAGTCAGTTTGAGGTTTAGCTAGTTTAGATTGAGTCAGTTTGAGTCTTTTTATTTCGTATTTTCTATTTTCTGTTTAGGGGACCAGTTAGCCTAACTGACTTGTTCCAAAGACTTTTGAGTCCTTGAAGTTTTTGACGGTTTTCTTTTTGAGCATGTCCACAGGTTCAAGAACTTCAAGAGTTTGTCATCATCAAAAAGGGGGAATTTGTTGAGTCCCTTAGGTTTTGATTGATAGTTTTGAATGATGACAAACAGCTAAGGGAAACAGGTCTTTGAAAGTGTTCAATACAGTTGGGGGAACCAACTATAATAGAACACTGTTTTCCTAGATAAGTTATTGATTATATGAGTTATCTATTGAACTAACTTATCTATATACAGGAAACAGTTAGATGATAAATGTGTTATGTACTGGTGGGGAACCAGTATGAACCGTTTCCTTGACTGCTATGCGGAAAAGCAGTCACATACTCTTTATTGTGCATTAACCATGTTACATGTGCAGTAGTTGAGTTGATTCCATGACTTGGAGCATAGAAGCCTTTCGAAGATATTTCGAAGAAAGATTGTTTGCTCATAATAGAAGTATTCAAGGAAGATTCAAGTCTTGAAGATTACATGAAGAAAAGACGATTTATGCTTTAATATGTTATCTAGGTTTTCATGTAATATGCTCCGTAGTATGCTTGCATGTTTGGGTTATATAAGTGCTTAAAAGTATATTGAAGTATGATATGAAATCTGGTACAAAGTTGGAACAGGTTTCATAACATGTTTCAATTCAGGGAACCAGGTCGGGGAACCAGGTTCACTGTACGAAATATTCGAGCTGCCGTTTTGGAAAAAGATTTTACAAAAAGATTTTTTCGAAAAGATTATTTTTGAAAATATTTTGTGCAGCTGGAAATAAGATGAAATATTCTTGGTTACCTAAAAACTAGGAGTATTTATCTTAATTGATTCTATCTTTGTGATTAAATCAAATAAGATAAATACTTTCCTAAAATTACAATATATCTTATTCTCTAAGATTGTGTGATTTAAGGAAACTAGGTTTTAGGAATCTAAGCTTATATAAACTCATCTTATTTCACATATTTCGAGTGCCTCTCTAGAAATTAAAAGAGAAATTATTTGAGAGCATATACTTAAGCACTAATCCCATTCATCAAGTTATATACAAGAGCATTCTAGTACTTAAACAATTTTCTCTTAATTAGCTTCGTAGAAGTGAGATCAAAGGAGAGTTCTTGATTCTTGTATTGAGTCTTTAACAAAGGGGTTAAAGGCTGGGTGAGTGTTTGTGAGTTCAAACACATTGGGCTTACGAGTGTAAGTCGAGAGCACACTCGGAGTAGAGTGTGGGGTTTGCTGGTTCCCGGAGTAGGGAAACAGCAGAGTGTTCTTTGTCTTTGTTTTTCGGAGTAGATTAATAAAGAACTTAGGATAGGAGGACGTAGGCCTGAGTTGGCTGAACCTCGTTAAATTTGTTGTCTTCTTTATTGCTTATTTATATTCCGCTGCGTACGGGAACCAGCACAACTGGTTCCTCACACATAATCCGAAAAGAAGCAAAATTAGCCAACGATTACTTAACACTCAATTCACCCCCCCCCTCTTGAGTGCCCATTGAACCTTCAATAGCAAATTAAATACTTTGTACAACAGCAGCACTACTAGCATAAAGACTAGAATTACTGTGCTAGCACACTTTTAAAAAGAACAAGAATTATAATAGCAATAACAGATTCAAAAATTTTGCAAAAGTAACACACACGAGGACATTACTTACTAGTGGGCAACAAGGGTTTTGAAAAATCAAAGAGAAATTGAGTGACAATAAAAATTGAATAGGACAGTTAAACGATGTTTCGTCACAAAGTCGAGGAAATTTTACTAAGAGAGTAAGTTGAAAAGGTCCCGATTTTCAACTAGTCAAGCTGTGCGCCAACGGAAAGACCGTTACTTATTGGCGATTGGTACGGAGTAGGTTTCAAAGAAAATGTGAAATGAAAAAGAAACTTCCAAGAAGCTTATTCCCATGGAAGCTAAGCCTGTCAACAAGTCATCTCAATCCTATCTATGTTGCTCAGGCTTGGAAATGTATGTCAAGTGTCTGACTCAGCTATTTTAAAATAAAAATTTTACGGTTTTGGGTCTTTTGGCACAAAACTAAGATCCAAACTATCTTACTCGTGTTTGAATGTTGAAAATCCAACACAAGTACTTGAGGTGTAAAGGGTTTGAGTAACATAGAACCTTATCTTCAATTGTTGAAAAATAGTTGACAACCCTCATTGAAATATTTTACATACTTGAGTGTACCGTACACTCAACTAACCCAAATTTAGTTTTTGCTATTCATTTGACGATTAAATGAAAAACAATCATCAAAATGTGAATAAAATGCTCATGAGTATACCGTGCATTCGGGTGTATATAACAATCTCTTGATTCACATTCAATGTCTAATAAAGTAGTAATAGTTAATGATTCTAGTCATTTTGTAAATATAAAGAGCTTTTGCTTCTAGAATGTGATATTAGTTCTTTGTGAACGGTATGACGGTTTCAGTGTACCGTTCATGACTAATATTTATTAAAAAAATAAAATAAATAAAAAAAAATAAAAAACTACATGACTACAAATTACAGAGGTAAATTTCGCAGTCCTACCAATTTTAAAACTTATTTTAATTCTGTTAATTGTCTTCTTCTGTGTGGGCGCATTGAGTGACTCAGTAAAGAGCATAACTACAGAAACAAAGTTAAGTGCATCAACCCCACCCTGTCAAGACTTTTCTACACTGCTAACTTCTGTCTTCCTCTTGATCATTCTACTGAAATCACAGACCGCACATTCATCACAAATTCTCAATAACAGCCATAGCTAAACCTTCTATTCTAACTATGGCTGTTGAAGCAGTTGTTTCTGTGGTTATCCAGAAAGTCACAGACCTACTAATTCAGGAATCCAAAATATTCGACAAGGTCGTCGACCAAGTTGAAGACATCAGACTAGAGCTTCGGCAGATGCGAGGATTCCTAACGGATGCAGAGGAGCTTCCAAAAGATGAGAAGGATGCCAAGAAATGGGTTGGGAAATATCTAAACACATTGTATAAGTTGGAGGATATGGTTGAATCCTATGTCCTCAAATTAGTACACAAGAAGATGAAGGATTCAACCATAACAGCCTGCTGGAAGCTTCGAAGGAAATTGAAGCATATTGAGGATGAGATAAAAGCGCTAAATAAGAGTAGGCCACATAATATTGAAGATGCAAGCTTGAGAAAATTATCCTTTCACATAGAACAGAAGCAGCAAAATTTAGATAACCTCAGTGATAAGAACCTCAGTACAGGTAGTTCCTCTCGAACAAAGCGAATGCTCAGCGGTGTTTGTGAAGAAGATGATTCAGATTATATTGGCTTCAAGGATTATGAAAATTCACTGAAAAGTAGATTGACTGAAAAGGATGGGGTACGAATTGATGTTGTTGGTCGTTTAGGTTCTGGGAAGACTACCCTAGTAAAAAGGATTTACAATTGCAAGTCAATCAAGGAGCAGTTTGTATGTCACGCATGGCTTGATGTCTCTGAGGAGCATAAACTTAAAGATCTACTGCTAAAAGTATGGAATCAGGTCAACAAGAAAAGGGATAATGAGCTCACACTTCTTAGTGACGGAGAGCTAAGAGACAAGCTATGTGAATTTCTGCGTGGGAAAAAGTGCTTGATAATTTTAGATGATGCGAGGAAGCAGCCGGATGCTTGCAGAGAATTGATAGAAGCTCTCAGTCTCCAAAACATGAATGAGTATAAAGTCGTGGTGCTGAATATAGATGAATCACGGGATGGAAATGCTAAGCTTATTGAACTGCAACCACTTGAGGAAAACGAAAGCTGGGAGTTATTTTTGAGAAGCTTACGCAATGAAGAGGGAATATGTGACATATCTGGCAACGCTTCTCTAAGGGATCAGATCGTGAAGAAATGCCAAGGCCTACCTCTAAATATTGTGCTCCTAGGGGGTTTCCTATCGACCAAGAAAATGAACTCTGCAGAATTGACCCGAGTGTTCAGCCAGGCTAACTGGAAGAACACGGATGTCTGGTTGTTGAGCTACGCTGATCTCCCTGCACACCATAAGCTCTGCTTGCTCTACCTGACACTCTTTCCAAAAGAATTTGATCTCTCAGTACGAAGAATTCTTCGGCTATGGCTTGCAGAGGGATTTCTACAACGCTCATCAGGATTGGGGGAAGACTTAGCTGAGAAGTGTTTCGATGATTTGGTCAGGAGAAACTTAATTAAAATATCCAAGTTTAGATCAGATGGAGGCCCCAAGAAATGCCGTTTGCCTGGGTTTCAACATGAACAGTTATCGCCTAAAGCTGAGGAAATCAGGCTTTTTCATATCCATCAAATGTCCTCAGAACAAACACAACCACCCTCCAATAAAAATAATAAAAATCCCATGGAGACATCACCAGCAGAACCAAGCAAACCACCCTCCGATAAAAATAATAAAAATCCCATGGAGACATCACCAGCAGAACCAAGCATTCTACGGGTGCGTAGAATAGTAGCGTATGCTGATATCACAGACAATGATTTTGATTCTGACTTTCAGAATTTGCGGTCCTACTTTTCATTCAACTGTACAAGATATGACACTCCAGCTAAAGGAGTAGGGAACTTCTTACGTCGAATCATCGGCAGTAGAGGTTTTGGACTGCTAAGGGTGCTTGATCTGGAAGGAGTATATAAGCCAATATTGCCTACAACATTGAAGTATCTATTTCAATTAAGATACTTGGGGCTTAGGTGGACATTTCTTGATAACCTTCCCGAATCTGTGGGTGATCTTCCCTACCTTGAAACTTTGGACCTAAAGCGCACATATATCAACAATTTGCCAAGTTCTGTTTGGAAACTGAAGCATCTCCGACATCTTAATCTCCCTCAGGTTCGTCTAGACATGAGAATTCAGCAGCCTAGTAAAAAACTTCTGACACTTTGGGGAATAATTATTGATGATGGATGCAATATGGAGAATGGGCTGGGGCAATTAAATGATCTACGAGAGTTAGGTATTACTTGCTGCCAATTAACACGCTATGAAGATTTGCTGAAATGGATTACAAGCCAAACTCATCTTCAGTCTTTAAGCTTGACATCAAAGGATGAAAGTGGTTGCCCATCCAGACTTGAATTGGAAAACTTGTCACAGTTACATAAAATTACTCACTTAAAATTGCTTGGAAAGCTGAACCGTCTACTCAATAACTCTGAGTTTCCGCCATATATAAGAGTTCTCACACTGTCTGTTTCAAACCTAAATGATGACCCAATGAGAGTTTTGTCACAGCTTAAATACTTATCTGTCCTCAGGCTTCTGGCAGAATCCTATTGTGGACAAAAAATGCAATGCCCAGAAAATGGCTTTGTTAATCTTCGTGTATTGAAGTTGTGGATGCTGAATAACCTGGAGGAATGGGTAGTGGAGCTGGGAGGAATGCCCAATATCAAGGAGTTAGAGATCAGATCTTGCCAGCAGTTGAAAGAGCTCCCCAATAAGTTTCTAGAACGAACCACCTTAAAGGAACTGATTCTAACCAACATGCCAAAGGATTTTGTGGAAAAGGTTGGCAACAGTAAATTCGAGCATACTATTCTCCAAACCAACCACTATGAGTTTACTCCTTTGCCGGTAAGTCTATGTTACTAACTTACTATAATAAACTGGGATTGGGGCAGGAAACCAAAATAAAAACAATTTGAACTTTGGTTGATGATACAAGAATCACAGAAAGCTAAAGACAGTTATCATGTGTTCAAGTGGCTTGACACACTCCAAAGCTAACAAGCTGAAGCAAATAAATTCTCAACCAATTCCAACATAGTATCTCTCTCCCTTTAAGATCCACTATCTATAGTCACTAATTCCCTCTAACTGATTTCCCTCTTCTTCTTGTTCAAGCTACCCTCTAACTGAGTAAAATTAATGACAATTTCCAATGAGCCCCTTTGGCCCTTTCCTATACCCGAGGAAATACATTTACCTAAACAATAGCATCTTTCTTTATATAATTGAATCATCAGCTTCTCTCATCAGTTTTTCTTCAGACTAGCAGCTCCAATACTCAAGTTGGCTGACCTTACATTTTTTAATGTGTTTTTCTTTATTCATTTCTAATCAGTTTCCCTAATTAACATAATTTCCTGATTCCAGTGGGAAAAAAAACCCTGAACTGTGGCAACCTGATTGTGGCATTAATCTTCAGCAAGCAGACTGCCCACAAGAGCACCACATCAATTCAGGAATTTCATACTAGAAGAGTTCTCATATCCTGTGAGCTGAACTGACACAAGAAGTTCTGTACCAGTGTACCACTATACTCGTACGTAGTACTTACTTTTCTTGTTTCCATTTTATCTTACCTTGTTTCTTGGAAAAAAGTGGATCAGAAGTCTGATCACCAGTGCACCTATCCTTATAGATTTCAGTTATGCTACTGGTTGCTCTTGAAGGTATTTATTTGCATTTCAGAGAAGACACTAAGTTCCCGGGCAAGAATAATTTGTTATCACATTTTTCCTTGCATTATTGTATATGCTTTTCAAGTGTCTATGTGGTCAAACCCACCCACCCACCCACCCCCAAATGTCGTAAGTCTTTGGACATCAAAACAAACATATCATCCCGAAGAGATTATAATCCTTACATTAATGGTATCAGATATTCAGATCTCATGCCACCCTTGTATTACAATGAGCTCCCACATCAGGGAGTCTTCTATTCTGGAAGTACAACACATATTCCGTATTAAAAGATTGTTAGTAATAATAGTTTAACTGAGAGTTAGCCAATACGGAATATTTGTTACTAAAAAAAAATTAAAAAAAAAAAAAAATTAAAAAAAAAAAAAAAAAAAAAAAAAAAAAGAACACATAGTTGAAGTATATTATTAAGAGTATGTAATAGACTAACCTTAGGTGGAGCAATTTGGGAAATCTAATATTATTAGGTTAGAGTCTTTAGCTTTAGTATAAATAGATAGAGGAGGGAAAGGAAAAGATAGGCAGAAATTTGGTGTGAACTTTGAGAGAGTTATGGCCTAAAGCCATTGTTAGAGAGTTGTGAGCTAAACTCACTATTGGAGAGTAATATTCAACCTATCTTTTGTAATCCTTTCTCCATTATCAATCAAAATATAAAAGCTTCCATCTTTCTTATTTCTTCTTTTTAAATCAATTTAATCAAAAATTCAGATTATTTAGTAATCAAAGAATCGATCTTTTATGTGAGTTTGGTCTGTGAAAAGCAGTCTATTACAGAGTACATAAAGAAGAAATTTTGAGGAGAAAAAAGAAAAAAAAAAAAAAAAAAAAAAAAAAAAAAGAGATACACCAGAGAAACCCCCTAAGAAAAGCAAGAGTAATAACTTGATCCATAAGCATTAAAAAAGAAAGTACCAAATCAAGGAATATCCTATCATTCCTGTCAAGCTAAAGCACCCAGATATATAGTGAAAAATGTTACTGGTAATCATACTGGTCACTAGACCGTTGATAGGAAAACTATATTATCTAGTCATCTAGATAAGTTTGATTCCTGAACCAGCTGATGAACCAGTTGTGTACTTGAGCAAGATTAACCACTTGATCCATAAGCATTGAAAAAGAAAGTGCCAATTCTGCGGAAATCCTATCATTCCTGTCAAGCTAAAGCACCCAAATATAGTGAAAAAAAAGCCTACTGGTGGTCACTAGCCATTTATAACATCTAGTCATCTAAAAATAGTTTAATTACTGGCCCAGCTGATGAACAAGTTTTGTGTTTGAGATGTCATTTACTGATGGGGAACAGAGGGCGATGAATAGAAGAATATCAAGATAGACAGATGACTTACTAGTCATAATTCTGACAAAATAATGATCCTACCTCTCTATACAACTCAGTCAAAAAAAAAAAATCACTAAGCTTGAGTAAAAGCTGCCTCAGTATTAACAAACATTAACATGTAGCAAGCAGAATTCATTAATCGGTACACTTTGATCATTCCTTGGGCTTGGAAATCTGTATAGACATAATCAAAGAAGGTATAAATGTGTTTGATTGATGTAATTAAGCTCTGTTTGGTTCAACTATATTTGGTTGAAATTATATGATCTGAACTTAAATTATCTAAACTTATGTTATCAGAAATAATTTTCAGAGTAGCAGAGCTTGTACAGCTATATGTGAGTGTGTTAGAGCTTGTTTTGTCTAAATTTATCTAAACCTTCTTTGTCTAAACTTATCAGCACTTATTTTAACTTAGTTGAACTTAGAACGTCTTTATACTTATTGTCTGAAATAAAATAAGATAACTTGAACAAAAAAACCTTAGGAGTTCTCATGAAGCCCTCCAAATTAAAAGTAGTGCACATTAATGAACTTGGAAAGCAACTACTACAACTGCACCGACCTCAGGGTTATTCAACAAGGAGTTTGCTAATTCATTCATTTGGTCCTAGAACACCCATAAACTAGCAACATTAACCCACACCAATTTTTTTCATCAAATACTTTCTCACTTATTAGGGAAATTTCATATTTTAGGTCAAAGAACACTACAAAGAGCCATGCAAACATCATGGCAAATTAAGATCAGACGAAGAACCTTGATCCTCTCAGTTGCCAAATGGATTTCTAGCAATAAATTTATACATAAAGAATGTACTTGTCTTTTTCTATCTGACACAATTGTCCACCCTTTTCCATCTCACATTTGTAAGTCTTCAGTAATTGACTTCATAAAATATCCAATCAACTCCTTTCTTTCCTCTATGTTAGGAATCAGACTCACACAGCAGAAACACTACAAAAACAGCAATTTAGAGGAAAATTGGGATAGTTTTGTATTGATTGATCGAGTAATCTACTCAATACAAGCCCTTCATTCGAGAGGAAGGAACTCTCCAAAATAAGCAGGAGCTTAACAATATTTTTGCATAACCAAATTTGCAGAGATCACCCCTTTAAATACAATTATTCCCTCTAACAACTTGTTAACAGCTACACCACTCATTCTCTCTCCATAACAAACTCTTAACAGATTATTGCTAAAATTGTCATCTCTGCCCCTGCATCATCAATTGACCTTGCTGCCCTTCTTGTGCTTTCCCCTAGCATAGGTGAATATCACTGGAGGCTTAGGCACATCTCTTGCACTCTACCACTGCTCAAGCAACCAGAATAATGAATTTGTTTCGACTTCTCCCCTTTAAAACACAAAATATGCCCCATCTATCCCAATATTTGGCCTGCAAGTCTCTTTGAAGCTTTTTTCAAGGTATAAAAGCATATGAAGAAACAATGAAACAGCTTTTTGTCCTTCGGTCTCAACTCTCAAGTGTCTTCATGTTGTTCCAAGGTTAGACTTATCTAATTACACCAATTGGGTTTCAATATCCCACATTGTTTTTGCATTAGAATCTTGAGTCATGAGGACTCATGACAGTATTTAAAGACTTGTTCTTAGCTCTTTGACTCTTCCTTTAACTAATTACAGCCTCAGATATGTCCCTCATGTCTTGCTTTACCTCAGTTGGCATCAATCTTGGATTTAAGATACTCACTAACTGGATAATTTTCTGCTATTAATAATTTAATATGTTGTAAAAGGTTTCCACACATGAATGAATCCATGAACTGGCTGCAATAATTTAAAGCCAGGCGCTAGGATCCTCAATGTGAAGACTAGGGTTAGATCCTATCAACAATGGAGACAACCTAAATGGATTTGCTTCATGTCACTCTTTAAAAACATTAGGTCCTTAGGCTTCTGAATCGAACACAGCAATATTGCTTGCTTATGTGAAGTGTACTTTAAGCTCTCAGACAAATCCACAAACTTCATGTGAACTCTCTCATTGAATAAACAATGTCTCGCCCTCGATTTTTTATTCCTCTCTCACCTTGACATCTTTGAATTTACGGCCTTTCATCATTAGGCTGCCTCTAATCTGATACATACGCTCCTCAAATATGGTAAAATAATAATCTAGCAATTTATTTGTACATGTCCCTAAATTTTTGGGGTACTTTTCTATTGAACTCCATATTGTGTTCCGCCAACACCCTCTTCGTGAAATAATCTCAGACATCAACAATCAGAACTACTCCTATTATAGAGTTCCAGGAAGAATACTGGTCACAAATGGAGTGTTATCTAACAATCTGTCAAACGCTACAGCGTAAAGGTTAAAGCATACCAATAACCAGATGAGTTCATGCACTCCTCCCTCCATTTTAAGACAGGAATTTGAGTTTCAGGAACTTACCAAGCACCTCTAAACTCCTCCATTTTCTTCCAAATTAAGCTCTTTCTGATAGTGCAACTGGTTCAGGCATTTCATCGAACATCTTGAGTACAATAAGCTAGACATTTCGTCAAATTTCTTTATTGCTTCTTCAATTGATCAGTTGCAAATCAACAACTACAATTTTGAAATAACAATTGCAACAATCAAATTTGATGAATTTTGTAGCAATTTTTTATCGACTGTCAAGAAATTTGCCCTTGAAATCATCAAGATGTTGTTTTGTTTGGAAAATGGTCTCACAAAATCGTGTAAAAAATTCGATACGAATAATCAAATTGTTGTTTTGATTGAAATTGCTGAAACATATTGCAATTTGCAAAAATCGTTTGAGAATTCGCAGAATTCAATCAATAATATGAGAAAATTAAAATCAGGAATGATATACAGAAGAAACGGGAAGTTAAGGGTTTATACGGAGTAGAGAAAAATATAGCCGTACTTATTAGCATTTGATTTGTACTGTATTATATAGTAATACCATGAAAATGGAGGGAAAACTAACTAATCGATAAAAAATCACACTACAAGGAGTGTTTGGTTCTCCAAAGTGGTTTGGTTTTATTGTACATACAAGCTACAAAATACAACAAAGAATCACTAGCATGTTACTAAAAATCAATCAGCACACACAATTTAATTATTGACTCAAACACACGCTTCAATTGTTAACATTACTAAGACTTCACTAATTACTAACTATAATTCATTTCATTACATTCATTGATTGGATTAAATAATAGACAAGGTTGTCTCCCTGTACTCCATTTCGGAACATCAATAAAAGAAAAACCCCATGTCTCCTTTCGGAAACATCAATAAACATCCAATGGCAGACGGGCGCGACTCCGTGGCCATAGCTAGTATGAGATCTCATCTAACTCCTTATAGTTTTAAAAAGTATTTGTAAACAAGAGACTCGTAGATCAGACGGCCTCTAAAAAGTACACAGCTAATACCCCATGCACCCCAACCCCTATTTGTCAATACTCTAGATGTGCACAAATTCAGAGTTTTATTGCTCATCCATCTTGCACTTTACGTGATTTACAAGTTTAAACTTGGTGATGACTCAAATGCAAAACAATACAGCCAATCATACATAAATCATTCAAACAGTTCAAATTTCCGATTCAATTCTTGATTTGTTAGTGACAAACAATATTTAGTATTGAATCCTCTAACTACCTGAGTGTATAAACACCTTAAGTGCATAAGGCACATCAATCCTCAACCTCATCTTATAAGACTTTAATTCTCCCTTTACTCATTCCATTTCAATAATCATGAACGAGTAATATAGTAATTCATTCCACATATTCACGTACCTTTGCCTCAAAGCTCATCTTGCAAGTTAATGCATAAATAAAACTTACAAGATAAATTAATACGCATTTCTCATACATGAAACAAAACCAATCATCACATTAATCACCAATCAAACTTACTACCATACAATTCCAACCAATCCACAAGTTTCCTAACATGATTCTAAATTTTTCCAAATCCTTAAACATGCTCCTAAAGTCAAGGTTTTCGTATATTTGTATGTACCTTGAGTAAACGAGTTGATTGGCCACTTTAGGAACTAGAAATCGCCTTCTACAAAGTCCTCTCCTAAACAAAACAATAACAATTCAATTAATACCCAAGCAATATAATTTACAGCAATACCAAACTACTTTTAAACCCCATAAACCATTGAAATAATGCCTTTAAATTGTTCCAATAGCCAAAGTTAGTAATTTACTAGTTCTAGTATAAGTTTATGGGAAATTCTCAACGGCGACCCCCAACATCTTTTACGCACCAACGGTAACCCCCTTTTTTTGGATTATAAAAATGACACTACTTTTCTTTTTTCTCCTAAATATGACATTAATGATGGTGTTTTAACATAAAATCAAATCATGGTTAACCAAAATAGTGAAATGACAGAAATGCCCCCTTTTTTATCACCAACCCAGGTAGCCCCAACACCAGTCCACCACCACCACCTCTATCTCCACCCCCTTAACTGCCAGCGCCTAGGGTTCCCCGTTCCCCCCGCTGGCGACGCTATTCCAGCCAATCGTCACCGAGAACCCCAAACCCCGCCGACGACCCTCCCTCGTTCTTCTCTCTCTCAATCTCAAATTTCTACAACTTTCCCTCTTCATCAATTGGTATAACAGCAACAATAGTAAGTGCCAATGCCTAAATGAGCCAGACCTAACAAAGCAAGAGTTCCGCTAACATTGTACATGGTTTTGAGTAGAGATTGTGTCACCTCCTTGCTTTCGTTTGCGAGAGGCAATTCATCCTTTTCCACTGTTGGACCTTCAATCTCCTGATACTTCATACTCGGGCTAGGGTTAGGGTTCGGAGTCGATTCGGATGAGTAGTGGAATCGTTGATTGAGAATTGCAGTTTTTGGCGTTTTGTCAAAAGTTAAATCAAGATTGAGATTATGATGAAGCAGCTTCTGCTGCTGCAACTGCGCTATTGTAGTACCGATTGGAAGGCATGGATTTGGAAAGTGATTAGCGATTGAGGTTGTGGCGGTGGAATAGAGTGGTGAAGTAGAATGACGACAATGCTGAAGAAATGAATGGTTGGGGTCGCCAGCAGTGAAAGGGGAAGGGATATGGCGGTGGCTGGCTGGTGGAGATAGTGGTGTGGATTGATGGTTATGGTTGTTAATTTTTTTAAATGTTTTTCTTTTTTGCTTTAAAAAAAAACTAAACATAGTTAATTTTAATTGACTATTTAATGAAATAAGGTTATTAGTGGGATTTAAAATAATGTCATTTTGTATAATCCAAAAAAAAGGGGGTTACCGTTGGTGCGTAGCAGAAGTTGGGGGTCGCTTTTGAGAATTTCCCAAAAATATGCTAAATTCATGAAAATATAGCTTATAACATGAAATTCCAGCAACTTTAAAGTAAGGATTATAATCTGAAATTTTAGTTAAGATTATAAAAAAAAAAAAAACCTCACAAACATCTTTACTTGAAATAATCATTATATAGTAGGTTAGTATGTTAAAAACCTAAAAATCCATCATAAAACCATGATTTAAAACCTTTAAAACCAAGATTAAAAATTTGAAAATTTATTCTTGCAATTAAACTTTAAAGTTCCAAACTTTATAATCATAAAATAACCACAACCTTTGTTTAATGAAGTTAGACACTTGAAACACATGAAATCAATACAATTTAAACCCAAGATTAAAACTTTAATAATTTGAAAATTTATTTATCATCAAAATATTTGAGTTTTAACATAATTAAACATAATATAATCAAATAACTTTAGCAACACGTTTTTGAACTCTAAAATCCCAATTTAAATAAAATTAAAACCCTAGGTTTAAAATTACAAAATCTGAAAATTAAACAACAATTATAATCTGAAATTATTAGTTTAAAACATCAAACATGATTTTGATACTAAATAAACTAATTTCAAGCAATAAAAACCAAAACCCAAAAATCAATTACATAAGCTTTATGAAAATAATAAGAAATAAAGGAGGAAGAAGGGAAGGAAGGTCAGCCACATTGGGGGTGGGGCTGGTGGTCGGCTAACCGGAGGACGTCGACGACAGGTGGTGTGCCAGAATTCTGGGCGGCAGCGACAGGCAGCAGTGAGCTATGCTCATGTATAAAGGAGAAAGAAAAAGAAAGAAAAAAAAAAGGAAAAATTCACTAGAATAATCCCACCTTTGGGCCATTCAAAATTAATAATGCCACCTTTCGATTATTATTTAATAATCCGACCTTTGGGTGCCTTTAATTTTTATTGGTCCCACCGGTCATGTAACCTGTTATAACAGGTTACATGACACGTGGCGGCCTGTGATTGGTCAAAAAAAAAGTTAAAAAATTAAATTTATTTAAAGAAAAAATAAAAAAAATAATTCCCAAAACCACCCACCACCGAACAACCACCACAGCCCCACCCTCTTCATATGAAACCACCGCAACCCCACTCCCCCTTCACCTGAAGCCACCCCTTCCACACCCAAATCCGAACACTTCACCCCCTTTCCCCCAACTTCACCCAACGCCACCAACACTTCAACCAGCGTCAACAACCGCTGACAGCATCAATCGAAATTGGCAGCCCCACAAATCGCAGCAACAAGTATAATTAATTCAGCCCAATTTCGCAAACCCTTGATAATCAAACGAACCATCAATTCCCAACTGCGGCTGCAGTTTTGTTTTGATAATCTAACGGCCACGATTTAATGGTGATGATGATCGTTGAAGCAGCCAAGCCGAATCGAAAAAGGAAGCAGCCAAGCCTGTGGTTTTTTCGACGAAGGAGGGTGGGGTTGCGTTGGTTTCAAGGGAAGAGAGGGGTGAAAATGGTGGCTTTGAGGGAAGGGGGTTGGGATACGACTGGTGTCAAGAAAAGGGTGTGGAGCTATGGGTGGTTTCAAATGAAGGGGGTGGGTCTGTTAGGTTTACAGTGTATTCAATCTAGAAAACACTTAATAAATTGTGTGGGACAAAACCTATATAATGTGATTACACTAACAATGTAATGTAATACAAACAAACTCAACCAAGGTGTTACAATCAAGTATTATAATATCAAAGAAATTACAGAAAATGTTTAAAAGAAACACTAATATGAAGACTTAACCACTTGCCTATACTCTAAGCCAATCAACCAAGCATGAACATGAGAATTGCAACGTCCCTTGAGACTATGATCTTGATACTCTGTCAAAGGCGTATGAATACTTTCCTAAAGGGATTAATTTCCCCCACACGGTGCTTGGGTTAATCCGGAAATTCCCTTTGAGATATAATTGACAGCCCTTTCCGCTCTTAGCACAAAGAATCGAAAACAAAGATGAATGATTCTCGAAGAAGGATAAAATCAAGAAGTTTTTCTCAAATAATTTGCAAGAAAATTTAGAGAAAATTGGAGAATTCTTTTGGGAGAAGATCAGAAAATAATGGTCTGTCTGTTTTTCTGAATTCTCTTTCGTATTCACGAAAATCCCTCTTATATGAGGGTCAACCGTTAGCAAATAACCGCAAAACTAGCTAATGGAGCGGGCGCGACAAACAAGGCGCGGACGCGCCACAACTAGGAGCGGGCGCTCCTCACATAGGCGTGGGCGCTCCTACCCAAAATATGCCTTTGATGAAATTTTCCATTGAGGGGCGCGGTTTGAGCGCGACCAGAGGCGCGGGCGCACCACCAGGATGCAGCGCGGGCGCGCCAAAACTTGCGCGGCCGCGCCTCTTACTTTCATCCTCCATGCTGAAATCCAAAGAGGTACGCGGTTTAGGCGCGCTCTCATCGCGGCCGCGCCTACCAGGCGCGGTCGCGCTTTTCACGGGCGCGAACGCGCACCATACAACACTCTAAATTATCTAACAGGGTCTTGGGGTGGTGGTGGTTGAATGGGTGATGGTGGTTCACTGCCATTGATATGGGGGAGGAGGAGGAGGAGGAGAGAAGGTGAAACTTTTTTTTTTTTTTTAATTTTGGACAAACCAAATTGTGACATGTGTAAATTAAACTTAAAAAAAAAATAACCTACTTAACCGGTTTCTGGTCAAATGGGACCAATAAAAATTAAAGGCACCTAAAGGTCGGATTATTAAATAATAATTGAAAGGTGGGATTATTAATTTTGAATGGGCCAAAGGTGGGATTATTACAGTGAATTTTAAGGAAAAAGGAAAGAAAAAGAAAATTAAAATTAAAGGAGAAAGAAAATAAGACTAACATTTTTGTGTGGGGGAAAATTTGGGGGTTCATGGGGTATTTATAGGAGAGAATTGTACGGTAGAATTGGGCCTCATGAAAATAATGGGCCAATTATATAAACAAATGGGTTAGGCTTTATTTTTATGATTATGGTTTGTAGGATATAGGTTCATAGAATTTTATTCAGCCTAAAATAATTTTTGACAAAATTAATAATTTGAAACTTTTAAAATTAAAATTCTGGAAAAATAAAAATAAATATTATAAATAAAATAAAATTTTATTTATAAAACATTTAAAAATACAGGGGATTACAAGAGGGAATTAGAACCCTTAGTATGAGATTTCATTACTAAAAATCTTTTCCGAAATATTTTTATATATTAATTTTTATTAATGTATACATTGGGTCCTAGTGTCCTACTATACAACATAATCTAAATACATCTACATACAATATAAACAAATTCTAAGCTACAGCCGGAGTACCTTGCCCTGCACCATCGCTGTCCGGGTCAGGGTCTCGAGGCTGATGCGGAATGTTGGAACATTGGTCGGTGTTGGAGAATCGACGCATCATCTCGTCAAACCTCTCTTGGTTTTTCTTTTCTATTTCCGCTAATCGAGCCTCCATCTCGAGTTCCATTTCACTGAGCCTAGCTTGCACCCTTTGCTCTTTGCTCCACCCTCTGCTCCACTTGATCCTTCATCTGGGAAAGAAGGGAAGGCGTGTAATGCTTGGAAGACTTGGAACCTATACCCTTCCTGTTGGCATAATACAGCTCAGAACCTTCGCCAAGTCCCTTCACACGACCCTTCTTGTTGCGACCACCTACAGTTTCCCAGTACAGCTCATTTAGAGTCTTCTGAATCCCTTGGGTGCTTGCTTCTTTGGATTTCTTCTGGAAGGCCTCCTACAAGATACACATTTGAAAAGGTGCACAAAGATGTAAGTTAAATTCAGCTTTCTGAACAAAATAGAACCAAGTAATGCCAATACGACCTATTCCTTGCCTATTTCCTACATTTCTTATCAAATGAACCATTTCTTTCTCTTAACATGTCTATTATAGGCCCTTCTAGGTGTACATGCATTGAAAACACAAAAAAAATCACAGAACCAAGTTTCGGGAAGGAATTGGACCGAAATAGGACCAACTGAGGCCTATGTGACCTATTCCTTGCCTATTTCCTACATTTCTTACCAAATGAACCATTTCTTTCTCTTAACATGTCTATTATAGGCCCTTCTAGGTGTACATGCATTGAATTCACATAAACAATCACAGAACCATGTTTCGGGAACGAATTGGACCGAAATAGGACCAACTGAGGCCTACGTGACCTATTCCTTGGCTATTCGGGCATGCGTGAATCCTTTCATGAGGCAGTTCCAAGCCCTTCACAATCTTCTTCACCTCATAGAATGTGTCGGCCATATGATTGTTGTTAGGAACTGCTTCACTGAGCAAAGAAACAATCCCATCAACACATCTATGGGGCAGGTTATACTCGCACTTTAGGCTAGTGACTCTAGCGGCCATCTCTAGCACAAACAACGAACTCCCTTCGTATAATGGCCGTTCAGAAGCCTTCAACAAATCCATAAAATGCTTAGCTTGTGCATTAGGCTCCTCCTCTGATGAAACACTAGCTTGCTCTAAATGCCCTTGGTCCTGACTATGACCAAAAGCATCGAAAACCATGTCACGGTATTCGTTGGACCGCCATTTAGGAACTCTCGGAAACCCTTCCCGTGACACATCCACTCATAGTAATTAGGTACAAAACCCGTGCGAAACAGATGATTTTTTATCGTTTCTGGATCCCAAAGTCGTTTGTTCTTACATTTAGCACATGGACACCTAACTTCGTTCAGGTTACTACTCTCGGGATTATCTTTGACGTATTAAATGAATTCATCAACCCCTTTCACGAACTCTGGATTAAAACTTTGCCCAACCCTCCTTTCATACATCCAGCTACGTTCTGTTCGTTTCATGATTACAACTTCTACACAACTCACGTATATGTATAATCACATTAGTCATAAAGCGTATGTCATTTTCCACCAAAGTATTATGGAAATGCAAATGAGATTTGAAATGCTTCCAAAGGGTCCTTATCACTCCAACCTAACCCATCCTTGTACGTTTAATCGCACTAGTGAATGTAAGCCAGGTTTTCACTTCTATGGAGAATCCGCCAGCATTTCCCTACAGTTCTCCAAGTACACGATGTAGGCGAATAAACACACCTTCATATGTACCCAGAGAACATTGTAGAGAAATGACAGGGCAGGATATTCCCTAAAATCAATAACAAGGCATACATTCACCACCTAAGTCAAAAATAGCGTACAAGGACAATCCCAACCGGAGACTATTCAAGACATACTCCTAATGTGTATGCCTTGAACGGGTATCTAGGCATTTGATTATGCAAATGATTCATTTACAAAATATATAAAGTAAAGGACACATGCATTATACTAAACAAATTTATATCGTAATTAAACTGAACTAGTTTAACAATGCGCACAATTATTAAATATTATACTATACATTATACCAAACAAAATTATTAAACTAAATAAACTAACATACACTATATTAAACTAATCTAAACTAACATACATTATTATATTTAACTAAACCAAACTAAACTAACATATTATAATACAACAATTAACAACTAAACTTAAATAAACTAAACTAAACTAACAAATCATACTACAACACATTCATTTGAAATATTATATTAAAATTTTTATGCACAACTTTTAAAACTAACTACATTATTATATTAAAACTAACTTAAGTAAACTAAATTAAACTAAACTAAACTACAACATTATATTAAAACTAACTTAAGTTACCTAAACTAAACTAACTTGAACATTGCAATTTGTATACACCAAAAAAAAAAAAAATTCAGGAACACTAACCGAAATTAAACAAGACGACGCGGCTGAAAAGGTGGTTCCGGTCGGAGGTCGGCGGTAGGGTGGTGGTCCTTGTGGAAGGAGGGGGGCAGTTACTAACAAAATATAAAAAAAAAAAAAACGAAATAAATGCCGCATAAAACTTACCGAAATCCGGCTTGCGGTGGTAGTGGAGGTGGTCTTGGTGGAAGTGGGGGTGCGTCGGCTTCCGGTGGTGGCTGACATGTAATCTTATTGAGCTCAAAAGTGACAAAAAATAATGTAATGTCTCATTTTACGTGTCAATTGCGTTATTTCTCAACATGCCAAATAAGACATTAGACATTACGTTTTTTTTTTTTGCTAACTTCGAACTTTATTTGGAACTATTAAACAAACCTTGATACCTTGCTTGAACAATTTCCACTTCTAAGAAATAATGAAACACAAAACCGAGACATCTCTTAACACGAAAAACAAGACATTACGTTACTTTTTTGCAAAATTTGAATTCAATTTATACCCATAAGGGCCAAAACGGCCTCTAAAAGCTTTAACGGAATATTTTCCAACACGTAAATCGACATATATAAAAATGTTAATCAGTGAAGAGTGGGTTCCACTAACAGTAATTATACCAACATAACGGAATTTTTTAGTGGTGGGATAACGGTAAGAACACTGTATGGTTACTAATTATTACAATGTGTAACTTTCTAAAAGATGGGGCACAACGTAAAAATCGTAAAACTTGAGGGTTATAATGTCGAATTTCGCTAAAATAATTTATACCAATTAAACTAATAATCTTATAAAATATTCCTTCCTTTATTTTCAATTAAATGACCTTTTTTTTTTACACTATAATACTCGCATGAGTTGATTTTTTTTTATTTTTTATTTTTTTTTTTATTTTTTGAAAACTCATCATGTGAAATCTTAATATATATGTCCAGTGGCGGATCCAGGATTTGATTAATAGGTTGTCCCATCATTGTCCATCGACCGCATATAACATCAAAAAATAGTCAAAGCTTGTATAATGAACAAAAAAAAAATACATAAAAAAGTTCATTTCATAAGAAAAAAATACAATCTGAAGCATGTAGTTGAGGTATTTCTTGCCTCTGAAGCTAAGGAGCTTTAACCACTAATGTGCTTTTAAATTATCATTGGACAATACATATCCTCTATTTGTACTGTTTAGTGTGTATGTATTTGAGAATTTATTTCAAACTAAGGCATTCCAACAAATATGTGAGGAAAAACCAAAAAAGGAAAGGCAGATGCTAGCCTGAAACATTAATGAGCTACAAATAATATATTCATAAATAAGTATACTTCTCTCCAAATAGCTCAAAACATCCTAAGTTTACAACTTCATCCATCAATAAGGCACACTCTCTAACCATTTCAAGTTTGACAAGGTAATGCAGCCATGCCGATTTTTTAAACGATGAACGACACACAAAAAGCAATGATTTGAGGTGTAATCATAATAGGCCAAGCTAAAAGCATCGTAGACAAACATTTACCTGTCTAAGAAAGGCATAAGAACATAGTCGTGCACAAGAAAATCCATTGCCCATGGTACAATTATCAAAACAACCAAAAATTTAGCCTGCAATACAGGAACACATAGTTCATAAGACAAAAGTCATGCACTTATCTAGCAACTGTTACACACTTTCATATAGCAAAAGTTAGAATATCCTAGGAACATACACAATCACACAAGTATAAACAAATAAACAGAAACCAGAAATACACAAAAGCAGGCAACAAAAGAAAGACTACCGAATTCCTCGAAACGAATTGAAAAACACGGTCTTCATACAATAAATCATCATCTTCTTTCCCAAGAATAAAATTCTCAAGAGTCTTCACTAACCCCCTCTTAGGCATTGTCTCATCAGGGTCGCCATCAACATCATCTTCTTTCAATTCATTCACATCATCATCATCAATATAATCCCATTCTCTTCTAACAGCACCATTTCCCTCATAAAAAACAAGCCAATCATCCCAATTCCTATTCTCCTCATTCTTAATTCCCTCTTGAGCCTCTCTCAACTCAATAAGCGCCTCGGCCTGATTCTTCCACGCCTCGAATTTCTCCTTCTCTGAATCCCTCTCTCCCTTGTCAGAACCCTCAACTTCAATTTTACTCTCCTCCTCAAACTCCTCCAAATCCTCCTCCCTTAAACCAAGCCAATTCCCATCTTCCTCAAAGAAAAACCTCCGCCACCAGCTCTAGCTTCTTCCTCGAATTAAGCCCCTTTTTCTTCTTCGCATTCGGAACCACTAACCCTAAAACCCGCTGATTCCTCCCCCCCAAAATCTCCCCTAACCCTAAAATTGGGCAAAAAATTGCTACTTTTCCTGTGCATTGAACTGCATAAACTAGGGTTAAAAACCATGAAATTGTCAATTAACACTACGGAAGAGCTCATAACCACAACCCAACATTGTCAACCAAAGATTCCCCAACAAATAAAATACTTTTTTGAACTTAATTTGAGTTATTCAAGCTGAAAAAGTGCAGAATTTGGGGAGAAAAGAAAGAATATCTCACATTCTTCAGCAAATGCGTGAAAACCCTAAAATGGCGACAAATGAAGAATTTAGCAATTGATTGAAAACTTAGGATTATCTATAACCAATAGTTCAATTATCCAACTTCGAAGAACCCTAAATTGAGTATATACCGATAATTAAATACACGATTAACACTAGATTGTCAAAATTAGAATTAGATGATTAAAGAAAAAGAAGCATCTAACCTTAGAGACTGCTTCAATGGAGGAGAGAAAGCTCAGAAGCCCCTTTTATGGAGAATTTCGAGTACGCTTCAATGGAGGAGAGAGAGAGAGAGAGAGAGGAAGCCGTGGTCTGTGTTCTGGCCTTCTGGGAGGATAGAGAGAGGAAGGAGTCACGGCGTACCCGTGAAAATGTGAAATAGATCTAATTTTATTTTTTTTATTGAAAAAAAAAGGTGGTCCTAGGATCCACAATGACTACATCTGAATCCGCCACTGTATATGTCACAAGTTATAGTTCGAACTATGATACAAACAAGCAAACCTTGATTCGACAACCCTACTTGTAAAACATACATGCATGTCAAGCTCAAATTTGATCGGACTCTTAAATTATTTTTTAACTCGATCGAATAAAACTAATATTTATGGCAACCAATCAATGAAGTTTTAAAACAAATTTCCACTTTCCATTAGTATTATTCTAGTGGCTTATTATTGTGAGCATACACAAGAAAAAGGTATCAATTCAATAACTATATACTAACACTATGTTTGGATAAGAAAACCAAATCCCTCATTTGGATAACAGATATGGCTGTGAATGATGCGATGGAAGATGATGGCCTGTGATGGAAGAAGAATCCTGTGAAATGGGTGCTAGAAAGGTTGTCTATGATCTTATGAAAAAATATGAGATAGTTGTTGAGAGAATAGAATAGCTTATTTATTATTTATCAATAGTTAGAGTATTTATACAAAATCTAAACTTATAAGATAGGAAACAATATTCCTAAAAAATATACCACCGTAATCATAAATCCTAAAGATATATTCTCTAAATAATATCTTAACATAAAATAAACCTAAATATATTATTCTCCTAATAAGATCAATACGGAAAATATATCACACATATATTTTCCGATATCTCATATCTCTAACATAATCGCCCTTTTAGTCTCTGAGATATGTGGTGTTTACATAATGATGTTCATTCATAATCTATTTATGAAAGAGCTTTAATTAATGTTGGTTAATTATTTATTGAGTTTCATAGTAAGGAAACATATTTTGTATACTACAGTCACATGTTTCATGGAATTACATTTGAGTAGTAGCTGCACATAAAAGTTGTGGTTCTAGGTTATTGGTGAATACTGCACATTAACACTACTAGAAAACAAGCGATTTTCGACGAAATTTTTTTCTTCAAAAAACGTGTTTCAACGGAATTCCGTTGGAAACTGTCGTCGTAAAGGTATTTATTGGAAAAACGACCTTTTCCGACAGAGTTTTTGAGGGAATTCTGGTGTCGAAAGAGATTTTCCCGCCTGGAAAAATCCGTCGGAAATTCCGACGAACACAATTCCGCCGGATATTTCCGACATAAATTTTGTCGAAAAATGCTTTATAAAAATTATAAAAAAACACCCCACACCACCCCTACCAGCCCACTTAACCCGTACCACAACCACATCAGACGCCCAATCCACCCACAACCTGACCACCAAAACCTAACCCGCAAACACACTAACCCCTACCAGCCCACCTAACCCGTAAACACACTAACCCACCTCACCACCAACCAAAACCCGTAAACTTCCTCACCACCCACCAAAACTCGTAATCCACCTCACTACCCACCAGAACCCCAACCCAAACCTGTAACCCACCATAACCCCAACCCAAACCAGATTCCCAGACACCACGACCCCCCATCCCCACCCAAACCACCATCCCCACCCACCAAAACCCCCACCCAAACCAGATCCACCCGAAAACAACTAGCCCACTCCCACCCAACCCTTACCCCAAACACAAACCACCCACCACCATCGCAATTCAACCACACATCACCATAGAATTAAAATTAAAAAAATCTTAAAAAACAAAATAAAAGAAAGAAAAAAGAGAACTTACCTTGAATTCCACCAAAACCCTAAAATTGGCTTGAAATTGGGTTTAAGTTTTCATGGTCGAATTTGACATGAAAAACTTGAAATTTACTTTTTTAAATTAAAACCCAATAATTTCATGGTCAAATTTCACAAACGATATCGAATTTTATCATGTTGACCGAACTAGGTATATTTGTGTGTTCATCTCATCTATTCTCTACTTTATTTCTCAAATTTACATTTATATATTGGTGTATATGTTCCTCGCAACATTACCTAAATAATTTAATCCTTGTCTATTTCCTAACAAAATATGTACACGTAAATCAAAAATCAAGTTTGCATTAGAATGAATTCACATATGTTAAGCTAGAGACATGATTGATGTTAAATTTTACTTAGAATCTAGTGAAATGGCAAAGGGCTGACTTGATTATGCACACATCTCTCAATTTGTATGTAATCTTGAGTTTTTTTATTCAAGTTGGAGGTCATATACTCAATTCCAATAAGAAACGAAAAAGTTATGGTCGTTTTACAAACTATCGTCGAAGCTAGAATTTTTTTACGAGAGTCCAATCAGCACGTCTATGCCAAAAAGTGGCACACCCTTTTTTGAACTTCTGCCTTGGTATTTGGAAAGTACACAAAACTGTGTGGTCAAGCAGCTCAAGCTCAAGCTAAGGCCATGTTTGGGTCACCTTATTTTTACTGATCTGATTTGGTTCGGTCTGATCTGACCTGATCTGATTGTCTGATTTGACCAAACTTTGACCTTAAGTGTACGATAATCTATAAAGAAAAAATATATCGAGTGGGATCTTGTTAGATTCGTAATAATGTGTAGTTTATTAATATGTAATTTTCACAATTTTTTTCATTAGGAAATTAAGAATATTTAGAAATAAAAAACCGCACATAAAACGATGTTCTGATCTGAACTTATTTTTTCTGATCTGAACTTATTTTTTCTGAAATAAGTAAAAATAAGTTGAACTAAACAAGGCCTAAGTAAGAGAGTTTTATTCCAATTGAAACGTAACAATATTATGGAATGCAACCTAAGAAAAGGTACGTAATAAACTGTAATTTGTGCATGATTCCTTTAGGCAAATATTTCCGTTAGTCAAATTATGTGTTAACTGATTTAGGTTGCACCAATCAATGGATGAGACTTTGAATCATTTACAAGGCCTATATAGGTTCTACTAATAGTAATTTATGCAATAGCTCAGACTTAGCTTAAAGAAACATTTATGGCCAATCAAACTCAAACATAATAAGCATATTAAAATGACATACTTATGCTCTCCATTACTCATGCTATTAATATATAGTAAGTGCATATATAGTGTAAATAAAACATGTGTTTTTTTATTCATGCATATACTCCATATTTGGGAGAGAAATACACCTTGATTATCACCAATATTAAAGTGATTAATTAACCATAAAATTAATTAGCCAATTAAACATACTCATATGAAATAAAGGCAACTCATAAGGCTAGAGCATTGTGACAATCAACCATATTTAGATGGTTTACAATGTCCTCCGAGAACGCGGTTTGAACAAATGTTTTTCCCACAGCATCTTCCACGACCAAATATACCACATGCTTCCCCCAATTTCTTGCACTTTGAGTTCGGGTCTACAATCAACCAACAAATTTTGAATAAAAACTTGTAATTACAATGTACTTCCTATGTATTACAAAATAACATTTTTTGTCAATATATATAATTTATATATGTTAGTATTATAAATCTGAATTTAAATTAATAATTAGCGTTAAAGAACTCTAATTCACAGGGTGAGTTCTCCACCAAACATACTAAGTTGGTATATAATTCTTAAGCCATGATATGACTAGTTCTAAACATTGTTTGCTTAATTTTAAGAAAAATTACAATATAATATATGTTGGAATAAAGAGAGTAAAAGTCATATATCTCGATTGGTTTTTGGCTTTTTTAAAGTATGATCAGATTACTCCACAAGTAGGTTGTGGTCTACCACGTTTGCCCACAGATGGGTTGTGGAGTAGACTTTTTCCATGTCTAGATTCACTCTTTGGCTTTCTACTCTTTCTCTTGGATTCCTTGATGGTCTTTTTTTCTATTCTTATATATATAGCCCCCTCATTCAAGTGGTTGTTTATTGTGATTAAATCATCTTCATTATTCTAATTTAATTAATCACTCATTTAATGGTTACATTTAACAGCATTTCTTCACGGTGACCTTGAGGAAGACATATACATGGAACAACCTGAGGGCTTTCAAATTCAAGGGGAAGGAAGAGCATGTGTGCAAATTGAAGAAGAGCTTGTATGGCCTAAAACAAGCTCCAAGGCAACGGTATCGCAAGTTTGACTCCTTTATGGGGGAGCAGGGCTACAAGAAGACTTCTTGTGATCATTGTGTCTTCTTGAAGAAATTTTCTGACAATGATTTTATCATTTTGCTATTTATGTTGATGATGTGCTTATTGTAGGGCAAATTAAAGTGTGGATAGAATTGTTAGTTTAAAGCAACAGTTGAGCAAGACTTTATCTATGAAAGAACTCGGGCCAACAAAGAACATTTTAGGCATGAGGATCATCCGTGATTGTAAGGCTCGAAGGTTGTGGTTGTCATAGGAAGCATATATTCAAAAGGTGCTTCAAAGGTTCAATAAGGAGAAAGCAAAACCAGTGAGTACTCCTCTTGCTTTGCATATTAAGTTGAGGTCTCAACAAAGTCCTTCTTTATCATAAGATAAGGAAATTATGATGCATATTCCGCCATATGCTTCAGCAGTCGGTTGCTTGATGTAAGCAATGGTTTGCACTAGACCCGATTTAGCTCATGCTCTAATCTGGGAAAGGAGCATTGGAATGCTATGATATGGATTATGAGATATCTACGAGGTAATGCAGATATAAAGCTAGGCTTTGGGAGTGATAAGCCTGTTCTTGTTGGCTACTCTAATTTTGATATCGACTCGAGGAAGTCTACTTTGGGTTATTTGATCACTTTTGCAGGGGGAGCAGTTTCTTGGCAATCTAGATTACAGAAATGTGTGGCATTGTCCACAACTAATTCAGAGTTCATTGCAATTACATAGGCATGTAAG